TTCAAGTACAAATGACAAATACACATAAACATTGTCCCAACTATCCCTATACAAACTTCACTTACCTCCACTAGGTAAAAAGATATATAAAGAGTACCTTTTCCCCTTCCCTGCCAATTCTAAGTTCCTACACTTCAACCCAGACATAATGATCTTTTAATGATAAAATGTGATATTCACCCTCTAAGGTAATTCCTACAGGCAAGGTTGTCACCATGTGTGTTATTAATAAAAAGTTAATCTATATATTGTTATTATCTCGAACCATTTGCCTACTGCTGTGTAGTAAAGTAAACTACTACACCTTCACCCTGTATATATTTGCAATAGTCAATCACTGTACCAGGTAACCTTGTTATTTGGTTGTATTATACCAAGAAGGCTGCAACCCTGTAACAATACATATCTTTTTATTCTTACTTCTTTAGATAATGCATGCTATTAAACAGTATGTTTGTATTGAATATGATGTAGTAAAAGGATCTGATATCATGACTGCTACAAAAAATCTTGCAGAAACATATTTGGCAAGTATTGAACCAAATCGACATCAACAAATAAATGTAAATATAAATCTAGTGACAAAAAATCCAAGAAAAAAAAGCCATACATAGAGACTATTGCTGGAATATCTAAATATAATTTCTGGCAATGGCCAATCGCAGGCCCATTAGCAGGATATATTGTAGCCTGTCTATTGCCACATTTTGGAGCTTCGATTCATTTTTCTCCTGCCATGATCACTAGCTTGTGTAATGAGAAAATTCTTCATCCAATACCATAATATTCACATATACTGAACCTCAATCGAAATGAACAATGGCTTTACCAAAACCCCAAGGTAAGAAAGTATTATATATGACTTACATTAATAATATTCATATAAAACTTTATATATAGAAAACCAAAATCAGAACATAAACAATGTTAAAATGATAGGTAATAATCATATTTTATTATAATTTGACTATCTAAATCTAAGATTACATATGTATATAAAATAGATTTCATTGATACTGCAAGAGAAAATAATACAGAAAAAGGTAAATAAATAATTTATAAAGTATATTTATCACTTTTTAATAAACAATAAGTATTGAAAAAAATATATAACAAAGAACCTGCTTGATTACAGAATTAGTTGACTTTTCTTAGAATAAAGGATGGGTGTTGCATAAGAATATAGTATATAGTAATCGAGATAGAGGAAAACGAATAACAGGTGCTGTTAAAAAGATGCTTGAGCAAATGTTCTTATAGAGAAATATTTATGTGAAAGATTGGATGATAGCTAAAGATATGTATGTTAGGTTAAAAGAATTCGCAAATAATAGTGAATTAGAACAGGATGAAGTGCCAAAAGTTTCAACAATTCAAGGATGGATATCACGGTACTACAAAACATTTTTGGATCAGGCAACAAGAACTGCACTACAATCTAATTTGGGCGAAGACATTTCAGAGGGAAGTATATAACTGAAATAAACCAAAGTACAAGTATACAGTATAAAATTAGAACTTTTCACTTACTAAATTGGATCTAACTTTCGCATTCACATATCCAAGTTTTTTTTTTTTTTCTTTGTAGCCATGTGGAAGCTTAAAAAAATAAGTTTATAGAATGTTTATATAGTAATGAGCACTAAAAAAAAAAGAATACCAGTTGAGTATATTTATTCGAAATTGCACCCTATATAAAATTGACCTTATGTTTAAGGCCCAAAATGCCACTTCACGTCAAATGAAACTTGTGAGTGAAAGATCGCTATAATCTAAATCTTTTCTATATTGCTATTTAGGTTCTAGTACATTTAGTAAAAAAAAATTATCCTAATTTGGTTAGTTATATAATCACATTTGCTTTGGGTACCAAAAATTTATTAGATTTTAATTTATAATAATCTGCATTATATTTTATTAGTAAATTGATTATCATTCCAAAATATTATATCAATTAATAGTGCCTGGTATTGTACTAGGAGGCACTTGTGCTAGACACTTTGTGCCAGGCACTTGTGCCTAACTTGTGCCACATTTGTGCATGGCACTTCATGCCCATGCCTTAGTAATGCCTAGAATTTTGTGCCTATGCCTTAGTAGTGCCTGGCATTTTGTGCCCATGCCTTTAATAGTGCCCAATATAAGCTTCTATGCCTATAGTAGTGCCTAGCATTTTTATGCCTATAGGCATTAACATGGCATGAGGCACAAGTGCCTGGCATAATGCCTATATACCTGGCATGGGCATTTGCAAACCCTTATTCTGTATTCCATTCTTATAGCTGACCTGGTATTACTATAGCCAAGACCAACACTGGCTGTCAGGACATACTATTTAATCACTATGCCCTTATAGAGTTTACCCCAACCCTGGTACTAACTTCACAACATATCCCTAATACATTGGTATTTAATTCAAGTTCTACCAAGCTCCCAAACCAGATAGTCTGAAAAGACAGATCATAACTATATACCTCTGGTTTACATATTTGCTAGCATGTAACCTTTTTCTCTAGAACTCCAAAATTTTAGTGGCCTGGTTGGTTCCATTCAGTTCCTCTTCAAAGGCCAGCTTTTTGCCTAGTTTTACAAGTTCTAGCTCTGTTTTATAGATCTAGTTTTTACAGTAGCACTGTCAAAAGTTTAGATTACCTCTCTACTCAGATCTTTCAAGTGGACTTCCATCTTCCTATCTGGTTTCCATGATTTACACGACCTAAGAACTTATTTTAGGTTCACATCGCTCGGTACCAGTTTGTGTTCCTTCATACAATATTGCATGAATGCCTAGACCTTTCAGTCATGCTAGTATGACACAGGTTACAGATGTCTTATCCCAACCAATCACAGAAGACAGTTAACTGTAACACAGAAAGAATTGCAAATTTTTGCCGACACTGGGATTTGAACTCTAGACCTGCCACTTGGGAGTTGACAACCTATTCACTTCACTAGGTCACCACACTTCTATACTAGAATTTGTATGAACTCTACAAAAACATAATAGTTAAATATTATAACTTTAATTACAAATGTTAGTTTTGCTATAGCAATATCTAAAAATAGATACAAAAAGTTCTAAAAGATTTACTTGAAGATAAAATAATTTTAGACTTAAAATAATAATCTGAGCATCTAGATATAACCCTGTAAGTAGAGTTCAGAGCATAGAAAAAAATTAGACATGCTTTTAAGCTAAAGCATGCCCCTTATGTTTATAAGCATACCTTTTTTAAATCATATAATTAAAAATCTTATATGTTAATTTAGTATTTACAGTTCTAGTTTATCTAAACTTACTAGCCAATTAAAATAACTTAAATATCACATAACAAAGATATACTTTTTGAACTTGAAACATGCTTATAGGTATGCCTTAGGAGCATGCCTCTATGTCTTAAACTCTACCTATAAGTTAATACAGATTACAGATTTAAAGTGTTTAAAGTAAAACATCTAAGCAGGAATATTAGATATAACAATTGGTAAAGAACCTTTGGGTAGACTCCTTAAATAGATAATATAAAAAAATTATACATGTAACTAATTGTATGCTTTTTTGTAGTAATTTATAGAATTATATTACCAAAAAAATTGTTAATAAAAGTCAAAAAACCAAAAAAGACATCTTAAAAAAAAAAATTTAATAAAATAAATTTTCTATTTTGGTTTTTTTTTCTTTACTTAAATAGTCTTGCTAATTTACCTTTATTATAATTTTTTATATACATATGTATATAAATTTTGTATAAATTTTGGTTTAACATTCTGTAAATACTTCTATGAACCCTATAAGTAATTTGCTTATATTGACTGTTTAACTTCATAATAAATTAGAATATGCCAGAAGTTACATTTAACTATTACTTTACAATAGGATATTGCCAATCTAATAACATTTTCTTATAGAAAAATAAACAAAAATAAAAAAAAACTTATATATAAAAAAACACAAAAATATAAAAAAAAAACAATATTATCTTTAGAATCAATAACATAGTAATTATGTCCTGAGGTCACAAATCACAAGATTACCTGTTCAAATCCTAGTGATAGCAATTATAGAGATGCATTTTCAAAAATAGGGAACTGCAACACTTAAAACTAGGGACCCAGAACATTTACAAATGAACTTATTTTCAGAAATACCAAGTAACCTGCAATTGAGAAGCCAAATGATGATAAACATGAGTTAGAGCCCAATTTAAAATAACTGAAGGCATGAAATATAATGTGAGACTGAAAGTCTGACAATAAGAGATACTATATAAACTTATAGTAATAGCTGGTTCTTGATAGAGTCTGACAAAGCCTTTTGGTTCTAATAGAGATCAGTGTAACTATCACTTTTGAAAAGTTTAAAAATACAGATTAGGGAAGGTCAAGATTCAGGAAAATATAAATATGAAAGATAATAGTTCAGAATATGAAGAACATATAAAAACATCTTAGCAAGACAAATCAAAAAGGAAAAAAAAAAAGACAATAAAAAGATACAATATAAGAAATAAAAAAAGAAAAAAAAAAGCAAAAAAAGAAAAAAAAAATATATATGCAACTCTTACTATATGACTATCAGATGATCACAATTATAAGTCTATATTAGGCTTTTAAAAATTATAAACTATACTAAATAGAATTAACTCTACTATTTTTCTATTTATTTAGAATATTTAATAAAAACAATATAGAATAAAATTTTAACTTGAAAATAGTGAATCAACATAGTTCACAGATTAGTTTAGAAGCAATATTTTATAAGGTTTTAGCAATTCAAGGCATGTGTATAAGTTGTGTTTATATTACTGTATTGTTTATATAATTTTAATTAGAAAATAAATACTGTTAACTGTTTTAATATTTTATATATTAATTTTTTAAAAAAGGTAAACTAAATCATTTACTTTTTATAAAATTTTTTTTAAGAAAAAAAAAAGACATGAGATGAACCAAACTATAGTTTTTATAAGTACTTAACCTTTTTAAGAATTCCTTGTAAATTTTACAATTGTATAGAAATAATATATCCAACTTTGTTATTTATTTTATAAGAAACTTTTAACTTTCACAAATCATTTCTTCTAAAGTTTTAGAACTTCTTTAAATTATTATTACAAGTAATGATTTCTTTTTCAATTCTACTTCAATGCTTACTATGCATACCCAATGCTTTAAAGAAGTTTTCCTAAAATTTAATATATTAACTATATTATTTTTCTGTAATTCAACATTTTGAAAAATTTGATTCAAATGATCATTAGAAAAAGTTCATATATTTTTTAAGTTTTTTTCTTTCTAAATTTGTATTTTAATTATATTTCTTATAAAATTGATTGAATCTAAATTTTTATATATTATTCCAATTTTTGTTATTCATATTTTAATTATTATATTATTTAAAATTCCATTTCTATTATTTTTTACTTAATAATCCTAATATTTAACTAGGGTATTGCTATTGCCACCTCCTATTTTTACTAATGTCACCCTTTATATAGTCTAATTCTAATTAAGAATTAGGGTTAAGTATGTGGAGGCCAATCAAATTAAGCGAAGAGGTGGCATTAGCAAAAATAAGGAGTGGCAATAGCAATTCCCTTTAACTATATATTAGTAAATCTAACATTATAATTTTGTTATAATCAACTATTGCTAAACTTTTAACTATATACTTAATATTATTTGAGTTATTCCTTAAATTGTATCTCAAGCAAATCTGACTAAAAAATTAAATTATATTTAGTATTTTTTAAATAAAATAATAATTTATTAAAAATATAAGATATATTTTGCTTATGAAATATATTCTTGAAAACATATTCATTTTAATTGCTTTGATTAGTCTGAGCATAAAAGTTATTTGCATTTAATAATGTAAAATAATTACTAATACGACTACGATTATAAAGAGATTCGAATTGTGAAAAGTGCGTATTGAAGCGAATATAATATGAGTGATGCATGATGTCAGGAATAACTATTTAGTGAGTGACTGCTTATTAACCGACCATAACCCAAAAAAATTTTTTTTGTGATCGGTCGCGATCAAACAAATCAATTATTAATCATTCCCTAATTGATCATCATCACTATCTTCAGGTTCAATTATCATGCGAGATCGATAACCTTTTTTAGGCGGCCTTTTTTCGTATCGATCCAAAATCTCGATAACGTTATCTAATAATAATTAAACAATATAAACTTGTTAAATAGCGCGTGAGAAAATTAAGTAAGGAAACAGACCTTTAAACGATTTATTGTTAAAATCCTTTATAGTATATTTCAAACGATTCCAGATCTTCATTAAATAACCTGGAGTCCTAATATATATGTGTTACAGTAAGTTGTATTCAAACCAAAGTCACCATAATAAACAATTTACCATGGGCCCCATCTTTCGTCATTTAAATCACTCCAATCTACGGAGGTTTCATCATCTTTTTGAGACTCATATAATCTTAACGATAAAAAAAAATCAAAAAAAGTTCAAACTTCAAGCTGTTACATATATGATTGAATATTATAAGCTTATCAACTTACTTCTTAATTAGTGTATAACTATCGTACGATGTCCATCTTGGAGCTGGCCCATCAAGTTCATATTGTAATCTTAATTCTTTAACCCTAAATCAGATTTATTATTAGGGGTTTCTCATGATTTCTAAACATATAGTCTATTATGTACCATTTTGCACGACACTGGTTTGGGGATCTAGTATTTTCCATTAAGGAAGAGACTTGTTGCCATGGGATTCCCCAATCCAAAGAAATGTCAGCATCATTTTGCCTAGTTAATTCGACAATGATATTTATTAATTTTTGCTCTTCTTCATCGGTCCATCTACCTAATGCAAAGGTTTTGTTTTTAGAATAATCTGACATTATTACGTTCCCGTCATTTTTAAAAAATTATAATCATGTAATATTAACCACGTAATTTCTCTTTTCTATATTGGACGTAATCTCGCCATCGATCTCTACATTGCGTTCCCATGCGTTCTAGTTCATTTCCGATTGTGACCCAATCATGATGATGAATATTGACGAGCCTTTAGTAGTTACAAAATAATGATAGAAATATTGACGAGCCTTTGGTAGTTATAAAATAATGATAGAAATAAATAAAAGCCTATCTAAGGAATAAATAAATTTAAGCGTGTTTACTTGATTAGCTCATTGTCTTCCTCAGGACTCCATGTACCGGTGTAATTGAATGGATGATATCGTCTTTGAATATGTTGGGAAACAGTTTTTAATGGTCGTGTTCCCAAAGCCATTGCTAATAAACAAAATTTTAATTTTAAGAGATTAATGAAATTAAATAACTCTAAAGATATACCTAAATGTTTCCAAAAATTTTCATGAACTTTTGGATTTCTTCCATATATCAATTTTTTAATATCATCATCAGACAGACTATTGAGCTGAAATTGAAAAATAGAGATTTAATATTACAAATAATAAGTGACATAATTTATTTAATATCAATTTACGAACTTGTTGGTAATCGCGCAATGCTTTAATTAATTCAGATCTTTCCTGTTTTGAAAATTTGCCTTTTTTATATTTTATACCTTTTAAACAGCATACAATTTTAAAACATTTTTCAAATGAAATGAATACATTAGAAGTTATTATACTAACCTAGCTTTTCAAGTGCGTTTCTCTCAAGCCATCTATTAGTTAAGATAGTACGTTGAGTTGCATCGTCAAGATTAGCGACCGAATCTCCTTTCGTCATTTGAACCATATTAAGATGTGATATGGAAGTATGATCTGTACAAAATTGAATTATGGCATGGTTAAATACAATTAGAATTTCAACATCTGATTCGGATAATCGTCCAACCGATACCCGAAAAGAAAAATGTCATAATTTTGACAAATTGGTCTAATATCGTTGATAACTCTTATTCAAGTTGATTTAAAAATAAGGTTAGACTGTTAAGTAACGTTAATTACAAGTAATCGATTGTCAGGAAATAAATTCCATCGCAAGTAATTGGGCATCCGGTCACTAGATTATAATCGTATGACCCGTTTTAGTTTGATATCCGATTTAGTTTCGGGTACCAGGTTGGAAAGGGTGGTTAACCCTATGGGTCACGGTTAGAATGGGAACTTCAAAATGTAAATATATTACCGAGTACGAGTTTCTTTGCTGTTAAACCTTGTTTACTTTTGTTTCGAGTTCTATTATTCGTAGCTATATAAGACTTTTAATAGGTACTCGGACAGTTTCAAGAAAGTAGAAGCAAAAAGTTACCTGAGTTATGATCTGAATTCTTAGTGTTGGTCGTGCTTACTTTTGCATAATTAAGATCATTTAGAAATTGTGTAAACGTAATATTAATTATTTGTAATAAAAACGTATACCTGAGTCACTAATTTCTGATCCACTACTCTCTGAGTCGTTACTTTCTGATTCACTGCTTTCTGATTCACTACTTTTTGTTTCGCTACTTTCTGATTCACTTTCTCCAGAACTGGAGGATAACATGTTATTTGAACTTAATGGACAAAGTTTTCAAGATTTTTATGAAATTTTTAGTCTGTGAACACAGATGTCAGTAAAACTAAAGGCGATAAAATGCGGTAATATATATCGGAAAATTTTTATCGGTTAATTGATCTCTACTTTGATCAACCAATCAGGGTGCTGGATCAGGTGTAACGTGGCAATCTAACCAAACTCTAAATTAAAGCATAAATATGTGTAACAAAATTATATCAGTAAATTAAAACCAACCTTTTCGTAAACCGAACTATCGATAAATTATTATTGAGATGGTTTTAGTAAGTTGAACACCTCAATTTCGATTAATGCTTTAATAACCTTAGATATTTGCATTGTGAAATAGTATCTATTTACTACTACAAGTGAGGTCCCCAGAAATTTACAATAAAATGCTTAAATGGTCGACTTATATGTATATCATCAGTTATCGCATTAGTACTGAATTCAAATACGAACCTCTATACTTGTGTAATATCAGTTAAATGTGTACGTAGTTTCTATGCTTACTGGTTAACTTATCACACAGATTTGTTTGATATTTCTAGAATTCAAGACTATCATGAAAGGAGAGATCTGCATTGTCTAATTTGGGATCGATAAAGCCTGTACCCACGTGATCATGCAGTCTTAGTTTTAGGTTCAGGGGCAGGGACAGTGTGAAAAATATCTATCGATTTACCAAGATTGGCCAATAAGAATGCAGTAATGTAACTTACCGTTTTTCGGTTTGTTGATTGTCTACGCTCCAATGGCCAAATTTGTGTTGTCCGGCCCAAGTATACGTACACTTAATTTTGCCCGAAGTGGTATTGTTACACCGCAAAAATATCGATTTCTGTAAATAAAATTCATGATTTTGATTGGTCAATATACGTAAAAAGTCATGTGCATGGGTTTTAGCGGAAATAATCTCCTAGCGCTAGACTGTCACTTCCTGTATGTTCTTAAACAGGTTTCACGACGGTTTGTGTTAAAATATGCGACTCGGAAAAACACAAAACTCAACGATTATATTTATTTATCTTTATTTAGAATCGAAGATATGATTGCTTGAAAAATTTTTCCTTCTAATTCGAATTCTTTTTCAGTCCAACCGGCAAAAAAATGTGCCGTTGGGCAATGATCTCCGATTTAACCGGCATAAAATTTTAATGTCTGAGCATAGAATGTTCGGTGCTATAATGCTGTTCATTGTTCAAGGCTCATTACTTAACCATGGGACTTGCCTTAATAAGCAATATGTCGCATCGGTTTTAATTTAATGAAAACAATAAAGTGTGCGGCTAAAATAGTGCAACCCCTTGCAATATTTTATATTCTCTTGTAAAGGTTAGCCTTTTACTTTTTTTGGTTGTATCACCCCACGAGGTTGGTTCCTTTTTCCAGAATACACATCCAAAGTTTAACCCCTGCAACTTTTGGTCTAGAAATTCGGACTTTTTGTCGGTCGGTCTAACGTCAGCATCTAATCAATCATATAATTTCCTATATACATATGTATATATATTTATATATATATGCTGTAAACTTCTCTTTTTTTTTTTTTTTTGTCATTCAGGTAACCCGAACGTTATTGGCAAAAACACGTTACTGCTGTATATATTCATATATTTCCGAAACAGCCACTTAAAATCATATACAGCATTCAGCTATTTTCTAAACTTGTCTCTTCTGCATTTTGCTACATTCTCTTACATAACTTGTTCTTGCTATTCGAAACTTAACTATGGACACCGATTGTAATAGTGACGATAAAGATAATGGCACAAATGCTGTTGATAATGCTCAAAGAGACATTAGTAGTAGTAGTGATGCAAAAGATTTTTATCCACAGTCGGAACCGCCTGGTCCTACTTCCCTTCCGACTTCCTCTTTACCGACTTCTCCTACCTCGACTCCTCTAGTTGCTTCTCCATTCAACGAGCAACAACTTGTTTCCGCTTCAGTTGCTTCTGCTTCTCCAACCCCTATCGTGTCAAATCCTTCGTCTTCGACAACAAATAATTCTGCGACGACGACGACGACGACGACGACGACGACGACAATGACGACAACTCATAAAACACAAGCCGCCTTTGTAAATAAGTTATACACGTAAGTATTTCTCAAACTTCCCGAAAAATCAAAATCTAGCAATGGTTAATAGGTCTCGGTCTATGTAAAAGAATAGCATTTGCAGAAGCTCGGTTATAAAAGAAATTTTGTCATGATCATGAAATATTTTATTCATCTCTACCCGGTAGTTTGGCGAATTTGTCATTATCAATTGCTTCATTTAATTATCTTGGCAAAAGACGCGTCTGCAAATCAATTATTCTAATTACCAATGAACAATTATTAATTTTCCATTCACCTTTTCTTTTAGAATGGTAGAAGATCAATCGATACAGCACCTGATTTCATGGGCAATTTCCGGTGATGTCTTTAGTGTATCGAATCCTACCGAATTTTCAAAAACGGTCTTGCCACAATATTTTAAACATAATAATTGGCAAAGTTTTGTGAGACAATTAAACAGTAAGATTAACACTTTTTTAAGATTTTTATTTTTATTTTATTTTTATATCACTCAATATTACTTAGTTCATTAAATATTTGAATTCATTAGTGTATGGCTTTCATAAAGGTATCCTTCACATTCTTATAATTGTCAATATTTTTGACTTTTTAAACAATATAATTTGATCTTTATTTTCTCATTAAAGTAAATGATATGTTTCATGCAAATCCGACAAGTGAGAGTCAGGCATGGGAATTTAAACACCCTGAATTTCGTCGAGGGCAACTTGATGCTTTACAAAAGATTAAGCGTAAAAGTTCAAAACATCAACCTTCCAATATTAATAATAATAAAAGTTTATCTAGTACTGGTGCTGGACAAAATCCATCATTAGATATTAATGCTGCTGATGCTCATCGAGATGAAAAAATTGAATACTTAACAAATCAGATGGCAGAGATAATGGAGAGAGTACGCCAAATGAACGAAAATTATAGTTTACTTTATGCTGAAACTGTTTCGTGTCGAATGCAACAATCGAAACACGAAAAGGTATTTGTAATATATATTACGTTTTATTCATTATTATCCTTATGCTTCTTAATTTATTGAAAATACATATATATATATATATATATATTTTTTTTTTTTTTATTTATTTATACATAATATTCTAGGTAATTACTGATATTGCAAATTTTCTTTCATCAATACTACGTGAAGGTATGATTTTATTATGAATTCATTTCTACTCACCTTAAAAATTTAATTCCTAAATCTGTATATTAATTTCTTTTTTAGAAGAATCTAATGATCCAAGAAATTTGAAACGAAAATTTGATGGTATAGTATATATATATATATATAACCGTATCCAAATAGTTAATATTTAGTGTGCCTGATATAAAATCGGATGTTAAAATTATATAATTGATTTTATAAAGTGGATTGTATACAAGCAGAAATAGCCAAGTTTGGGCAAGGTGATATACCACCCTCCCCTCATCCTCCTATGATGCAATTTTCTCCCCATTACTATAGAGAAGGAATGCACCCAACTCGTTCAATGTCAACTCCACAACCTATGGTTGGGGTTGAGTCTACTTCCTCTTCGCATCATTCTTCACAGATGTCTGATGCTGATTACCGCTCATCATCATTCTTGGGTTCGCAATCTCTTCATAGATCACCCACTAAAATTCCGTCATCTAGTCCCTTATCTATGTTACCGGAATTACCATTTACTCATCATTTTCAACCTAGCAATAATTATCTTCGACATCGTTCTCCTGAGCCGATATCGAACCCGAGCCCTAGTGGTGATTCAAGATCTTCTTCTATAGACGCTTCTTACAAATCATCTATGCAATCTACAAGTTCAAATTCTTCACAAACTACGCAAAAATTTTCTAATTCTGGTCGTTCATCAACACATCCACCGCATATGCAATCTGCGAGTACACCAAGTCGACGCGCATCACAACCTACTACTTCTTTAAGTTTTGGGTCTGATAGTAACCTATTAAATCCATCTGAATCAAATAGATTTAAAGATAATAATTCATCTACAATACCAAAATCGCAAAGTGCTACTTCTTCTTCTACCTCCTATAGTAAGCCTGAAAATCCAATCATTGCCAATCCTACAACAACACAACAACGTCCACCTCCATTACCAGATCCTCCGGACAATGAAACCGAACATAAACGTCGCAAGAAAAATTAATGCATATTGAAATAAGTGAATTGACTGCTTAAATATTTTGGCTGGTGTTTGTTGGTATGTTGGTCTTTCTAATACAACTTTCTCATATACTTTTATTAATTAAAATCTCTATACATTTAGGATCGGCTTAAAATATATATTCACAAAATGAAATGTTTATACAAGAATTAAGAGTGTGGGATAGGCTGATTGTTATAAAAAAAAACAAAAAAAAAATTTTTATTATTAGTGCGATTATTAGTTGTATTTGAAAAACTTACATGGGCTTTATTTGTACCATGTGCATAATACTAGTATAGTGTTGTTGTGTATAATAAATAAAGTCTGTTTAATAAGGATTTACATTTATTAATCTGCGATAGTATTAAGTAGTAAGGAAATTTTCAATATATATACGTATTAACATAATTGATAATTAATGTTCGGAGAATTTTATGAAAAATTGTAATTTCGTTGTCTGAGTGTAATTTTCGTGAAAATTACCACTATAATTGTACATTTTCTTAATGATATTGTGCGTCATAGTACGTATGTGTTAACTTATTTACGCGTAAAACGCGTCACAAACCCAAGTAGTTATGGAATTGTCCAATCAGAGTATAACGATAAAGGTTGACGAATTATAGTTGGTAGCTCTCCCAGAAAAAAATTCCCCTTCCTCTCGTGATTTTAATCCAATTAGATATCTTACCCAGGTGCGACAACAAAATTTCACAGTCACGTGACTATCGAAAAATTCTTTAAAGTTCTTTTAGATTAGGGTTAGCGTTTCTAATAAGATGAGGAACTAGTGGGATTTATAGTAAAATTGCTCAAGGAATTTTTTTTGTTAGAGCGCAAAAGGTGATTTCTTATGCAAATTTTTGAGAAATAAGCGATTTTTGAAAAACGAACGTTTTGTTTTGATCTTCCTGATCGTGTAACGTTACATTAAAATGAGACTCGCTATTGGATGATCATCACGTGAAAGTGAAAATTTGTCGGCGCACCAATTAGATCGAAATATCAGGTGTAATAAAATCTTTAGGGTTACAGGAGTTTGACGAATTAGGTGCCGTACAAAAAATGCGCGGATGTTCCTCGATTTTGATTGGCAAACGGCTGTAATCGACAAAATTCTGGTTCGCATTATACGTAATTTTGATCAGAATTAATTTTTTTCAATTTCAAAAAATGGAATGATTTTATTATCATTAGTAAAAATTTGGCCTAAATTTGATCATCGCCGTTGGCCAATCAAAATCGAAGATCATTCATTCATGTATTTTTTGATAATAATAATTAAATAATTATAAAAATAAATTTGATTTTACTCAACTTAAAATATCTGTTACACCAAATTTCATATTTGTTTTTTATATTAGCATTATAGTTGTTATTAGCAGTAAGGAATGTAATACTGAAAAAAAAATAGTTATATAAGGTACAGATATTTTTATTTTCTTATATTTTTTACTTTATAAATAGAAACAAAGAATTAAAAAAATATTCTTAAAAAAAGTTAAAGTATAAAAAATTTTAAAACTTGTTAATTTAAAAAAAAATTTTAATTAAAATATTGTAAATTTTAAAAAAAAATAAAGTTTCCAAACTTTTATAAATTAAATATTTTACTCAATGATAAAATTTTTTTTTGATCAAAAATTTTACAAAAATCAACAGAATATTTATACTGTGAATACAAAATAATATATTTTATTTCAATATGAAAAATTTTTAGTTGTACAAATTGTATGAAACAGATAACTTTAGTTTTAAAAAACATTATGTTTTATAAACATAAATTAAAATATAATGAGATTTTATTAATTAAATATTTTTGATTAATTAAATCAAGATATACAACAATTAGAAAATTTACAGGTCATGATATTTCAATGATAATTAGATTTATAAAAATATTTAGAAACATAATTATAAAAAGCTTAATAAAAGAAGATAAAAAATAAGTAAAAACAATGTTATAGTTAAAATTGATAAATTAAAATTTAGAGTTAATAAAAATTATTGAGTTTTAGGATTTGTTAAGCAAACAAAATTAAAAAAATATTTTTTTAAAATGATAAATGATTATAATAAAAATATATTACAAAGATTAATTAAAATATATATAAAACCTGATTTAACTATATTTACAAATTCTTGAAAATTATATATAAGACTAAAAAAGATGGAATTTAAACACAAATGCATAAATTACAAAAAACTAAGCAAAAGTCAAACTCTAAAATAAATTTATAGTTAATACATTGAAGGTACCTGATGAAGATTAAAAATGAATATTTTGAAAAGAGACAATTAAAGAAAAACTTGAAATTTATTTAAAGAAATTTATATTTTGAAAAAAATATAAAGTTGATTTGTGAATAAGTCTCATTAGTGTAATTAAAAATTATAAAATATAAATTATTAAAAAAAATAGAAGTTTAACAAATAAATTAAATTTATATAATTAGTTTATTATTTGTTTTGAATATTATAAATAAATAAAAATTATAATTAAAATTAGAAATTCAATGTAATAAAAAATTAATAATGTTTGATTTGTTTTTATAATGATTTAATGTTCTCAAATCATTGATGTCTTTGATATTATTGTTATAACTATAACTCTGTCTTACTTCAAATCATTGTAGCAAATATATCAAACATAGTAGAGATTTGAGACCAAACTATTTATACTTTTCTTCCTCTCTCTCTTTTTTACTTCTCAGTTTAATTGATTTATAAAAAAATTTCAAATATTTGATACTTGTAAGAAGCAATCATAATTGTGATTACTTTTAAATGCATCTTATTTTCAAATTTTTTTTGAATAGAGAAAAATAATTAAAATTTAATTATATTATAAAAAATATAAATACATATAGATAACTTTAATTTTCAATAAATGGCAGCTGCAGCAAAACTTTTAAGACAAAATATTGCTCTTTTAGCTGATAAGGAGCAACTTATTTAAGAAAATAATAATTTAAAAAACAGAATCCAAGAAATTGAAACAAATAATACTTAACTAATTGAAGAAAACAATAAAATAAAAAAATTGAATAATACTTTAAAGATTATTTTATATAATACTAAAGACAAGTATGATTATTACAAAATAAAAAACTTACAAGAATTTGATATTTTTATTTCAAATTATATTTTTAGTTTATTTGATAATATTGATATATGAATACAATTTGATAATAAATATATGATAAATATTATTAATTTTTTGAGATTTTATAATTTTTTTTAGATTTCAACTATTTTTTTTTTTTTTTTTGGTATTAAGATAACCTCTTTGGTTTTTTGATTTTTATTAATTACTTGTCGGCATTGTGGTTCAATGAACCACTACAGGAGAGCGTACAATTGGCTACATGTGTAACTTTTCTATATTACCTATTTAAGG